CGAAAAACACCAGATCCAATCCTAATAATGACCAGTACTCACTGCTTTAAATAACAAAAACTAAAATACATAGAGAGACTCATTTATAGTCATATGCAATACTTGTAAAATGGCCAAAAAATCATTTATTACATTCTAACTAGGGCTGGGTATCATTAAGGAGTTGCCGATACGATACATACCTCGATACACAGGCCACGATACGATACATATCTCGATACAGTGCACTTTCGATTCGATATGATATATTTCAAATTGATTCGATACGGTTCAATAAAAAATAAAGGCTAAATCGTGGCTGTGATACTAAAAGGCTTTGTTAAATCACTTCTTGTGCAAAGTTCATATGATTTTTACATTTTAATCCTCAAAACTGTAAAAATGTCAAATGTGTCGCATAAATGAGCTTCCTTTCACTCCACAAGCAACAAAACTGTAGCACTGTAACAAAATCAATTTAGAGAAACACACCTAAAAATACTCTTGGTCAAATATCGATACAGTAGCCCATGATATCGATACTGTATCATCACATTAAATGATACGATATATCGATATTCCGATATTTTTGCACACCCCTAATTCTAACAAGACAAACTTTAACAACAGAACTGGACTAAGAGAATTAATGGACATCTGCTCCAGAGATGAAAATGAGTTTCCAGCCGATGCTGCTAGCCAGAGTCACCACCTCGTCTGGCACAGTGCTATATACCGCTGCCTCACCGCCTTCTCCCAGTACCCCTCCGACTGGGACAGCTGGGAAAGACAAAAACAAAACACAAAACATTCATCAGTTAAGCCTCTATTTCACAAAGTAAACATTGCATAATGGGGGCATACATTCCAAATGGTACTGTTGTCTATAGAAAAACATGGACTATATCAGGAATAAATTAGGGTTATTGTTTATTTGGTACGATCATAAATGACACATTTTTGTGCCTTCTTCATTACAATTATTAGGTATGGATATGTATGTTATGCATATGTGTACATATATATTTATACTGAATATATGTACAGGATATCTTTGATGCCTATATGTATGTATGTGTGTATATGTTTAAGTATATGTGTGTATTTATACAATGTATATAACAGGTAAGCACTCCAAAGGTGTTAAAAATATCTCTCTCTATAATATATATATATATATATATATATATATAAAATGTGTATGTATATGTTTTCATGTACATATCCCTGTTTTTGTTATTGTTTTTTGAATTTTTGTTGTACCTGGCTCAAACAAATAAATAAATGAATAAATTAGGGTTAAACAATCTGAAATGTGAGTGAACCATAGCTACAATAATTAAACTAATTAATTACTAACTAATAATTCAACTAAACAATGATTAAAGCAGAGGTAATGAGGTGTGTAACCTGCACTGTTTTCAAAAAGGTACAACAATCACAACTGATTCTGTGTTGCCAGACTACACAGAGATGACATGTTTATCTCATTCTCAGTATATGGACAGACCAAGCATCATGTGAAACCTCAGCACCTTCAGAATTCACTCTCTGAGCTGCAGAGGTCGCACTAGCACTGACTCATGACTGACTACAGGTGCTGGGATTTAGGGAGTGAGGATTCAGACCAGAGAGAGTCCTTTTAAACCAACTGGATTTCAGCGTTGAAACTGGCAACCCAAATCACTTGAGGCTCATTACTGCACTACATAAGTGTGACTGGAGCAGGCAGAGGGTGTTTAATGTTAATATTATTACAGTGCTACGTTTTTGTATATTTTATGGTTCATCTCACCTCCCAGAAGCGTCGAGAAACGCGTAGGAGCTGCCCCACGTCCTTCGGCTCCAGAAAGCTCTGGATGTGCTGGAGCAGAGCGTCAGGCAGGCGCTCCAGGTCATTAAAATTTCCTTGGCACAGGGAGATGGTTTTATTTAGCACATCCTGTCCAAACACACGAGCGATTTCACCTGAAGAAGAGAACAACTGGGCTTAGTTGAGTGTAATTAATATATTTTATAGTGAACAGTACTCTTGTTAGACTGAAACTTTTGTTCACTCCTCCAAAATTAGTCTGCAAATAACAATAGCTTCATGATGACAACAAATGATTTAAACATTTGTGTGTCTTGCGAGGCCCTTTAAGATATAATATTGTTTTTTATATATACTTTTTGTGATCTATCCTGTAAAAACACCGGATTTTGTGAATTATTTAATGTTTAGTAAATTAAAATGATAAATCAGACATTACTTCCACACAGTTACTAACTTGACTGGTGGTTTCCCCAAATACTTTTTTTATTCTGGACCAATTGTACTTCAAATAGAGTAATATTATTTTGATGTAATAGAATGACATACAATTTTTGCTGCTCTAAATGTATGTAAAAATGTGTATTTTATGCTTTTAAATATCTTTTTCTCAGCTGGTGAAACAGTATAATACGGTGAGTTCATGTGAGGTGAACAGTGCTGATGATTTAACGAGGTCACTGGTAATTTAGGATGAAGATGATGGTGATAAAACATGTATTGTCATTAATAGTAAAAGCTATTGTCAAATAGCTCATGTTTCTCTCACTCTGGAGTCCGGCGTCTCCTAACAGGTCCTGGTGGGATCTCCTCATTTGTCCAGGATTTCTGTCTTCAGGTCTCAGTGTTATGTTCCACCAGTTGAAGAACACCTGCAAGAGTCCAGCACAAAGTGTTCTTCATTCTGAGTTAGGCTTAAACGATGTGGGGAAAATATATGTAATTGTCATTATTCTGACAAGCTGTTTCTTTTAATAAATAGATTCTGTTCAAAGACCACATTTTAAACATGTGTTGAAGATTTGACAAAAATAATGATAATGATATGAAAAGACAAACTAATGTCAGAATTTCATTTAGTACAGTAGTAGTTCTGAAGTGCAGGGTTAACAGGAGATTTTGCTGTTTGTAGAGGAAATTATCTTAGCCTAAGGAAAACATATGCTGCCTTTGAGATTTCAATTTGATTGTGATTAATCTTACAGGCCTATATTGAATTAAATACACATACACATATTGTTGTCGGCTTCATTTAAGTCAACTGCTTTAGTGTTTCTTTTTTCTATAGTAACAAACTTAACTGGAGCAATAAACAATTGATATTATTATTATCTGTATAATTTGATGTAGAATCCTGACTAAGTGAAACAGAAAAAGCTGTTGATCTGTAGTTAGTTAGATTTGTAGTTTGTCTGCGCTCACGTTACAGCTGTTGTCAGTAACGGAAGCTAACGCGGCCACATATTGATTAAAACACTTTATAAAAATTAGCTCCAATAAAATAATAGAAAGTCCGTGTCCGCAAAGTGAGCTCATTGTTAACCACACTTACCTCGGTTTGTGTCACGACCAATCCATATAAACGCCTCTCTGGAGCCGGACCGTCCACCATAATTTTAAAAGAGGTTCACCCTGAAGCGCCATGTTTGGGTTTGGCCGTTACAAACCCCAGGTTCCAAAATGGCCGCCCGTTCAAGTCAATGGCTGTGTCCCAATTCAAAGGGTTTGAAGTGTCCTCCGCGGACTCCAGGCATGGATCTATTAAAATAATAATAATAATAATAATAATAATAATAATAATAATAATAATAATAATAATAATAATAATAATCCAGGCCGGTGTGGAAATGGGACAGGACGGAGCCGCTCTCCCGTCGCTTAGCAACCGAGGGACGCTGCTAGCGCTAGCGCTAATGCTAATGCTAACACGCTCCGCGCAGATTCCACACACGGATCAGTAAAAAGACGCACAGATGATCAAACTGTCGGATTTTGTGACCAAATTATTTTAATATTTCGCATCCAAATCTTCTAAAAAAAACCGAAAATGTATGTTTAACTTTTGCAAAACAAAACGGCTATATTTAAGGGATACATCTTAAATAGGCAAAATTATCTTAAAGTAAAAAAAAAAAACTGTGATGAGATTTGCTTTACTAAATATCATTATTAAGGAACAGGGATTAGATTTATACAGTCAGTTTGTAAAGAAAGAAAGAATCTCTCCTGAGAAAAGATGGTTTATTAAACAATCCAAGGAACTTCTGGAAATACTTTATCATAATATGAAGAGTCAAACATTAAACCCATTACACACACACACACACACACACACGCACACACACACACACACACACACACACACACACACACACACACACACACACTGCATTAACAGCTGTATGTCAGTAAATCTCATTGTTTTCCCTCTTTGCTGAAGCAAGTGACAATCAAAAATGAACAAATTATCTTTGCCAGATATGATCATGTGGAACACCACAGTTTATTACATTTATTATTTTATTACAGTACAATTCTTATAGTACATGTACTTAGTTACTATCAAAAGAGACACCAAATAAACGGCACATTTCACCATAAATCAAATGTACAGACTGAAAAACATTCATGTGTCTGCAGCCAGACCCTCTTGAGAGACAGAACTACATAATGACGTCATATTTCTGCAGCCAGACCCTCTTGAGAGACAGAACTACATAATGACGTCATATTTCTGCAGCCAGACCCTCTTGAGAGACAGAACTACATAATGACGTCATATTTCTGCAGCCAGACCCTCTTGAGAGACAGAACTACATAATGACGTCATATTTCTGCAGCCAGACCCTCTTGAGAGACAGAACTACATGACGTCATATTTCAGGGCCCATTCGTTGTAAACATTAAACGTCATCAGTGCGCGCGGAGGGAAGCGTGGAGCTGAAGGTGAAGCGGGTCTGTCTCCGTGGTTCTGGTTCTGAAGTTTGGAGCGTCAGCGTTTTTAGAAAGAGGCTAAAATGTCCTTATTTATGTCTGAAGAGTGTGTGTTTATTTTTATGTAATCAGGAGTTGTTGTTTTTTGTTTTTTTTTTAGACTTTTGTAACCTGTTCTTCAGTAACATGGGTCTATCAGGAATCTTCAGGTTTCCCGTAACAAGATTTTCATTCATCTGCAGTGTTTCTCCAGAGACCAATGAGACAAAGAAAA